GCATGGGGGGCTCGGCGGGGGGTGCTGGGCTGCGGGGAGTGGGGCGAGGGGGCTCGCCGGGGGGTGCCGGGCGCGGGGGTCGGGGTGGGGGGGTTGGCAGGGGGCACCGGGCTGGGGAGAGTGTGGCGGAGGGGCTCGGCGGGGGGCGCCGGGCTGGGGGGGCAGGGCATGGGGGGCCTCGGCGGGGGGCGCTGGGCTGGGAGGAGTGGGGCGGGGGGGCTCGCCGGGGGGCGCTCTTCCCTGGCAGTCAGTGCTGACCCCAATGCCTAGCGGCCTGGGCTGCTGGAGATGCCCTGATTGCCCCGCCCCCCGCCATGATCCCCAGCAAACACCCTCCCCCGCAGCCCTTGGGGCGTTCAAGCTCCCGTGCCCCCCAAGGTCCCGCGGCAGGCGGCGCTCGCCCCAGATGCACAGGTTGCCCCCCAGGGGCAGAGGGGAGCACGGGCCGACGCGCCAGTCCCCCCTCGTGCCCCGCCCTGGGGAGCCGTGTGTGACAGCCGCGGGGGGAGGAGGGGCGGGGGGAGGAAGCCGGGAAGGATGTTGCCGGCTGCTGTTACGGTAACTCGTCTGCCAGCAGCCCCCTTCCCGCCAGCTGCAGCCGCTGCGTGCCAGGAGCTCCTCATCGGGGCAGTACCAGGGGGGGAGGGCTCGGTGTGGGGCATCCGTGAGTGGTGGCCCCAACAGCTCCCTGATCCCGGCCTTGCCAAGGGGCGTTCGCCCCCCTCCCTGCCATGGGGGATTCGGGGTGCAGGGCCTCAGGCCTGCCAGGCCGCCCTGTGCCAGCCCCCGGCCCCACGGGAGGCAGAACATCCGCCCCACGCCACCAGGAGCAGCCTGGGGGCAGCTCCGCTGCTACTGAACTCTCAGGGCCAGAGAACGGATCTGAAAGGGTGTCGCGCTCAGGAGACCACAGAGAGAGACACACAGACAGGCTGGGATCTAGGGGACAGACAGACGAGGCTCCAGGGGGTCAGACAGACAGACGAGGCTCTAGAGGGTCCCACAGATGAGGCTCTAGGGGGTCAGACAGACACACAGACGAGGCTCCAGGGGGTCAGACAGATCTCAGGTTACAGCCGGCCGGGGGAAGCGGTCGGCTGGAGTCCCTCTCCCCTCTCCCGCAGTGGAACCCGCCTTCCCTCACCTGACTCCATCTTCACAATCTTTATGGCAGCCAGATCGCCGTTGCCTTTGTTCTTCGCCTGCAGCGACACAAAGGGAGAGAACGATCAAGGGGAAAACGCCCATCTCAACGGGGATCTGCCTGTCCAGCGGAGGGTCCTGAACTGTCGTGCTGTGCGGCCGTTAACCAGCCCCTGCACCCCACCCCAGAGGTGGCTGCATCTCAGCGCTGGGCGAGCGGCTCGCTGTGTATAAGGTACGTAGCTGTAAAGCACTTTGGGATCCTTCTGGAGGAGCGGCACTATGGAGATAGCAGATACCAGCACATGCCTGAGAATAACCCTACAGCGTAACCCTACCGTAATACACCTAATAGCAATAAAAACGTACAGCGCCTAACACTATGTGGTCCTTGCCCATGGCTGAGGCTCCTAGGTGCTACCGTCATACAAACCATATACAAGAATGTACAGCCTTAACTTTGCCCTTTGGGTATTTGCAGCACAGTGTGGCTGAAGCCCTGGGCTGGGACCCAGGAGATCTAGGTTCTATTCCTGGCTCTGCCACGGACTCCCCACAGAAGCTGGGGCAGGTCACATCATTGTGGTGTGCCTCAGTTTCCCCCATCTGTGACATGGGGATGATCATCTTCCCCTGGCTCCCAGGGGTGGGGGGGGAGGTGTTTGTGCAGCGCCCTGACACTATGGGGATGGGGGCCATAGGATGCACCTACCCATAAATCCACACCATAGTGGCTGGTGCCAGCTACCACTGATGCCCTCCCCTCGCTCGTGCAGGAGGGGTTGTACTTACAGTCCGGGGGTCCCTCCCCACCACTGACTCCGGTATGTCAGTAAGAAAATCACAAGCTATTTCTCAAATACAACCCCCTATTTTCTCCCCGACAGCCACAGAGAAACGGGTGCATCTAATTTAATCTAGGAGGGAACTACAGGCAGGACTCCTGGGTTCCCAGGAATGAGAGGGGTCTAGCGGTTAGATCAGGGAGTCGGAGTGCCTGGGTTCAACTCCTGATTTGGGGGAAGGAATATAGCGTGATGATTAGTGAAGAAGATCGAGAACCAGGACTCCTGGGTTCTCTCCTGGCTCTGGGAGGGGAGCAGAGTCTAGTGGTTGGGGGCGGGAGCCAGGACTCCTGGGTTCTATCCCCAGTTCTGCCACTGATATGCTGTGCAGCCTTGCTTGAGTCCTTTCCCTGGTCCTTGCCTCAGTTTCCCCAGCTGTACAACAGGGATGGAAAGCGGCAGCAGAAGGACAGAATCCTCCTCCTCCCTTAGGAGATGGGACCAAGTCTGGCAGCCTCCCTACAAGGGACTGGGAGGCCAAAGCAAACCCTAGACCCAGTTGCGGCATCGGGCCTGTCGTGGGCCCCGTGGCAGCCCAGGGTGCCGTGCCACTGAGCCCAAAGGCGGCAGGAGGCTGCCAAGCACCGGGCCAGACCCTCCCCTGGCGTGGGGCCTGGCCCAATGCCCCCTCCTCAAGTCACCCCTGCCCCACCTGTGCCTGTGGGGACCAGCACAAAGGGGCGCTCTGAGCAGGGAGGGGGCCATAGCTGAGTGGCGCTGAGATCCCGCTAGGTCCCAAGGCCACTCGGTCAAACTCTGCTCATGTCACGCCAGCCTGGGAGGGGTCTGACGTGATCCCCCCCCCACTGTTTCTAGTGCCCATGGGAGGGGGGGGGCACCCCAGGGCTGAGCCCCTAGCAGGCCAGGCAGCTGCTCCCAGACCCCTCCCGCACCCGCCATCCGAAACCAAGCCCCTGAGAGCGCAGCAAACGGCTGTGGGCTCTCAGCCGGGGCAAGGTCCCCTCAGGGCACAGCAGCGTCAGCCCCCCAGTGCTGCCGTCACACGGAGGCGGGGGTATTTCTGGGGACACAGTCAGGCGAGTGCCGCCGCGCCCCACGCCAGCCGGCAGAGCTCGCCAGAAGCCGGGAATTTCATGGCTGGGCCCAATCCTGACTGTAGTACCCCTCCACTCCCACCCCCACCCCCCCGCAGGGCCCCGGCTATTCCCCCCCTCTCCCCCCCGGGAGGGGGCTGCCACCTCTCCTCACTCAGAGCAAACAACTCGCCACTTCTGCTTTTTATTTTTACGGAGCCGTTGACGAGGTGGGGAGGAGAACGGGGGCCCAGGGGGGGTCTATCGGGGGATTGGTCACGGAGCCCGTCACTGCGAGGCAGCGGTTCAAAGCCAACGCGTCTTGGCAGCCGGCCCAGCCTAAGGTCCACGGGCAGAACGAGGCCGGTGGGTCTTGTGTCCTCTTGGCCGCTCCTACGGGGCATCCCCCTCAGCATGGGTATGCGTCAGAGGGACAGTCCCCTGGGTGCCAAGCCGCCCTTCCTTCCGTGGGACGCCCACATGCCAGCGCCCTGCTCCTCACCCGGCCGACACAGATGCAGTGGCCCTGCCGGCTGGGGCCCAGGTGGGGAGCTCCTCGGAGCAGGGCCTGGGCCCCGTTGTGCCAGGCACTGCACACTCCCAGCAGACACAGGCCCAGCCTCGCAGGACCTAGGGCCCATCTACACTAGAAAGCCGCATGGCATTAACACCCCTGCCCATCCCTGTGGCCGGCATAAAGGGGCCGGGGCTACCCTAGGAGCGCAGTATCCATACAGCCACCCTAGCATTCACACCCCACCAGTGCGGACGCAGCTCTCCCGGTGC